GCAACAGTAGACATTAATAGTAAAGCAACGAAATATATATATATATATATATATATATATATATATATATATATATATATATATATATATATATATGTTATTTACAAGTTTTTGGACTTTACCCAACTTATCAGTTAAACCTGGGCTTACTGCTCCTTCGATTATGCATACCTAACATCTACATTTATAAGCACAAATTGTAACTTTAATCAATTGTACATTACATTTAATCACTAACTTAGCTCTGTTTTTAGGGTGTTCATCACTTGCTCAACTATTAAGATATATCAAAAGGAGAAACATATATTGATGTAAAATCATAACTTTAAATTGGAAATTAATGAAGTTCAATTCCAAATTAGATCTGAAGCAATAACTGTTTGCATTTCAAATAACAAATTTTAGTAAAATAATACTGAAGACGTCCCTATTTTAGACCCTATTTTACGGACCACTTGATCAACAAATATCACCCTTTATTGTTACGTCATAAAATAAAGTAAATTTACTATGTCACACTTAAATAACTAACTAGCTAGTCATACAAACAATTTTACATAATTACATAATTTTATTACACAAAACGACATTTTAGATACAATCAAAATGTTAATTATTGCCTTCAACACAACGGCTGCGAGTCTCAACGCTTTGAATTCTAAAATCCACTAGTCGATTTATGCTGAGACAATTATTGATTCTGTGGAAATTTATCCATCTCTACTATTAATTTTACTTTACACAAATATTCCAATATATCGCTTAAATCTTGATGAATGTAAATAAAAGAAAACAATAGGATTAATGAACCACATAATATGTTCATGAAAAAATTACCAAAGTTGAACAAATCCAAGCAATTCACGATAAAAGTTATTAACTCAATATACACGAATAACTTTTCGATTTCTTGTAATTGACTTATATCAGATATTTCGATTCTAGAATTCACGGCTTCCATCATACCATGTACACAATATTGTATATAATATCTATATTTGTTACATTTAGAGTACACAAAAGGTTATTTATTATCGTTATCTTTATATTGAAGAAGGGATTAATTGTATTATTAAATGTAATTACAAATGAGACTTCGTAAACAACGAATACATAACGATTCATCGAGCATTCCAGTCAGATACCGTGACACTAATTCCCGATTTTTTGTACAAACATTACCCCCCTCCCCAACACACACACACACACACATACACACACAGACACACACACACACACACACACACACACACACACACACACACACACACACACACACACACACACACACACACACACACACTTTGATTTTCTCCTGTATCGTGGAGGCAGTTTAACAACATAAATTTCACAAGGACATACATCCGGACCCGGAACAATTATTTGTAGGCCATATAAAATATTTGTTTCGTGCGGGATTAAAGTCCCACACGAAACAAATATTTTAAACCCGCAGCCCGCAGCAACCTTTGCTAAGACACTGCGTCACGGAGCCGTCAAATTATATTATTAACCCTTCAATTTCTAAGCGGTCGAATTCTACCGCGGCGCTATTCCGTCAAAATTCAAGCGGTCGGATTCGACCGCGCACACCCACAGCACTTTAAACCATTGAGACTTATATTTAGAGACTACTTTTCTATCAAAAAACATAACATGTAAAACACATTACATTGTTAAAATTTACACATTAAACAGGAATGAGAATGCGGCCCGACGTACAGTTTTAGTCTTAATCCCTCATAATGAAATTACTCACACCAACGACCCTCATTCTTTGTTAAGTACCGCACTATATATTGCTATACACTCAAGGCCTGCCCACATTTCACGTAGCATGAGAATAGAGGAACACCTAGCATAATATTCTTTACAAGCACATAATTTAAGCTATAAATTGAATCGAAACAGTAAATATAAAAAAATTGGACTATTAATTGCCAGTACTGCTAGAAAATGATTAGAAATAAAAAATACCCAATGTTATATTCGAATACTGTAGGTCTCGCAGTTTTTAACTTTTATATATAATATATATTAGATCTAACCGTACCTTTTTTCATTCTGCGATCTAACGAAACTAAGTGATGGATTTCGCTTTTGTCGCCAAGGGACAAACTTTTGTGAATTTACTTGTTTCAAAATTATAATACAAGCAATCGATTATCAATTTTCCTGGAGCTACACACGCTTTGGTCTCACAAAATTATTTTAAACTGTGTTTTTAAACACTTAATTTTTTTTTTAAGAATTTATTACAAACAACCCATCTTGTATCAATTTTAGATATAATAATAAATTATTAAAAGGGTATAAAAAATCAATGGACGCTGCATAGAAGATTTAGTAATATAATCTAAGATATGCATTAGGAACATAACTAAGCCAACATTTTCAAACCCACTTAGGTTGAAGAACAAGTTGTCATCATTCACACCAAACGCTCGGCCAGATGATATTATGTAAGTGGCTATAAAATTGACATCCATTGCTTTGGAAACGCTTAGTTGCGACCCTGGCAGTGAGCACATCCTAAATATCTAGTATGCGAATTACGTGTGTTCAAAATACATAAACTGATGTGGTTACCATTGTTTATTAAAACTTATATTTTATGCAGGGTTATTTCGCAATAACCAACCAAAATTGCAGGGAAGGTACAGAATATGTAATATAAGCAAATGGTGAAAAAATGTTAATTAAAATACCTTAAATATTCTGTATTTTTAGTTAAAAATGGTGGTTATGCATTATTTAAACTAATTTTAATTAATATATATTATTTCAAATAAAAGTAATAGCCTTATTTACGTGGATTTTCAAAAACTTCAATAACGGTATATCATTATTTATATTTAAAATTTGGCTACTCTGAGAAATAACCCTGTAAATTACTGAAATATAAAATACATTGATTTATAACCTGTTAACCATATCAAAGTAAAAAGCACTACTAATACGTAATTAAAATGTTAATAGCCTATCACAAAGTTTTTGTGCATAAAGCATAGTGAAATGTAAATAATTAGTTTTACACAACCCTGCACAGCTGGAAGAACAGACGTAACTACAGCGTTAAAACTAACACTATTGTACTATCTGTGAACGAATTTAGAGAAATACTGAGTTATTTAATAATGCATGGATTTATTTTTGTGGATATTAAAATCATTGTTGAAGGGTTATACTTTGTTAAATAAAAATATAATAATTGCAAAATAAAAATATGTTATATTTTATTCTCTAGACATAATACGATCTCTAGAAAAACAAAAAGGCACCGAAATATTCAAATTTACTTTGCCTAAACGGTCCTTACCTATGAAATTGCAATTTTTAACATATCAAAATATATCGAAACATTTTATTTAGTTCCAAAAATAGTTATAAATTAGCACGAGACAAACTAATTTACAAACTAAAATAAATATTACATATTTTAGTTATAACATCCCATATCAAATCAGTTGTTAATTTGTTTTCCCTACCATTGTTTTTTTATTTTATATTGCCGCGCTGTGACTGTAGAAAGTTTGAAAATTTTTGTTGATTAACGAGGTATAACAAATAATGAACAATGCATTTCGTTTGTGATCGCTTCAGTTCTGTAAAATTGTACCACAACAACGAGCAACGTAGATGACCGAAGTAAGATTTGATAATAAACCCACTTAAAAGTTGGCATAACCATCAACGTTCGCCATTTCTGTATAACACATGCAATGCACGTCGAACACTATTAAAATTACGGAAATCCTTTGTTAAAACCTTGCTACCGCTGATATAATATTTGTAATGTTTTATTTCATAGTTATCTTTCTGGAAATCATTTGCACCTTAAAATATATTATGAAAAATAAAATGTATTGATTTATTTAACAAAGTATAGTTCTAAAACTAGCTCTGTGAGCCGTCACATAATATCCTGATACACTGTACACAACAATCTACAAGTAACACCCTACATCCCTTTATAGGCGACCGATCATTGCATCGAGTTCGTCAAGCTCTCGCAAGTCCGTCCTGGACTCTGAGAGGCAAGCGTCTGACTCAGACAAACGCGGCCATAAATGGAGACACGTCCAAGCTGTTATGGCATACTACCAGGCACTCAGGAAAATAAAAAGGTTCGATCCAAGCCGAGGCAACGGTAAAGCCGAATCGTTGTCGAATGTTTTGATATTTTATATATCATTGTTTGTTTATGATTTCCCACTAATGTGCTATTCATACCTTCGTCTGTGTATAGGAACTTCGAGAATGGTAATTAACTAACTGGATTCTTTGTGTGGTTTTGTGAATATTGTGCCTATACTAGTTTATCTTCGAGTGATTGTACTTTTCTACCTTACTTGGATAACGAATCTCTTATTAAACCTTAATTCAATGTTTATAATTATTAATTTGCATTTGGACGTTTGACATTTCGATAGTTGTTTATAAAACTTAGTCTTTACTCTCCTAGTTTTAGAATATTTAGTTTTAGTTACGTGGTATTTTAGAAGATTCACTGATCTTACTCTACAAAATACACTTTCTATGTATTTATCATTGAAATTATTTTATTTTTACTGTATGAATAATGCGATGTCGCATGTCAAAAAAGGTAGATTGATTTGCTTGCACGTATACGTTACTTAAATTTTACAATATATGTGTGAAGAGCACAATGTTAAAAAATTGTAAAAACACTTATTAACTTTCAATTTATTCTGCAATAACTTTGAAAATTTAGAGATAAATTTAAATTTTTCAATTAAATTAAGATACGTTTTTTTCTTTTACTCAACTTTAAATATTCCCAATGATTTCAAATTACATTTAGACAGCTATTCTACTAGTTTACAAAATATTTAAGTAACACATTTTACTGATTCTTAATGCAAATATAACACAAAATATTAAAAATCTTCTGAGCGCATGAACAAATTTGCTTTAAGTCTCTTCCAAAACTTCTTCAATTATTTCAAAATTTGTGCTAATCTTTTTTGGTGATGCAGAACAAAGTCCAATCAAAGATGGATGAAGCTACGGACAACAGTGCAAATAAGCTCAGCTATTCATAAGAAGCCTACTCTAAAGAGAGAAGATTCATTTCTCAAAAGATTTTCCACTCGACAGATACCAGAAACACAGGAAACAGTAAGTCTCTTTCATTCTTCCGATATTATAGCATCATTATCAACATAAACAAACCTATATCTTCTACTGGACTTACATTTTTGTCTATATGCCATCAAGAGGGAGTTAGTGGAGAATCGCTAATCTTAATAAATAAGATTAATTTTTATATTTTTGGTCACCACGTCCATACGAGGACCAAGCGATTAGTCGGGGCACTGCTTAACAATGCAGACTGGCAGAGAATGCCGAGAGACATTAAGTCCGCCCATTGTTACCTTAGTTGTAAAGTGTTACAATTAAGAATAAATTATAAATAATTAAAAAATATTTATAATGGGCAAGCGAATCGGGTCTAATCCTTATGAATATTGCTATGCAACTGTTGTGCTATCTGATATAAACTAACCTAACCTAACCTAGCCTAATAATCATGTTAATCACTTTTGTGTTAATTATTTTAATTTGAAGACAATAAATTAATAATGTACCATATATGAAATTATCAAGTATAAAAACTACTTTGCAGCATCAAATAGCAGCAAAGGGGTATTTCTTCTATAGCGCTACAAAGAGAAAATGTACTGATGAAAATTATTTCCACTGTGTCTAAGTGTTAAATGTGTGACATCAAAGAAAAATCAAACCTAACCTAACCTATATTTTTATTACTAATCAATCTTATAAGTACCGTAATCAATTTAATTATTAAAATAGTCATATTGCCTACTCATATCGCCCGGGCATTATGATTAATGCCCTATTATTCCCTTGGTCTATAACAGCGTTTGAATTTTAGTTCACTAAACTCTTTTGGTATTTGATTCACTTTCAGTTGTACATAATAGATTCATGCCTCAGCTAAATTGTGGTTGTAGCAATAATGAGTCGGCTCAGCCGGGTGTAGGGCTACGCTTTCACAGAATATCAGCGTGAAATAAAAGAACGGTAGTATAAAGCATAATCTTTATGCTGTTGTATTTCGTATGGTAAATTTAGAATAAACTGCAGTCTGTTTTTACTGCATACACCACATCTGTATTTTGATTCTTAATAGAACATAGATGCAGATGTCTATGGGCCACAGCATCCACTTACCATCAGGTGGACTGTGTACACGTTTATTACTCTTCTTCTATAAAAATAGTCAGTAAGATTCATTCTACTTTACAAAATACTGATAGATATCTAACTAAATTAAATTATGACTTACAGTTGTAGTTATTTTGTAAAGTAGACTAAATTTTTGTACATAGGAAACTAAGTATATTTGAAATAGAAGTTTGAATAACGATATCCATTTTTCTATAGGTAGAAGATACGGGTTCCGAAGGTGCTACTGGTGAACACAGAAGTACTAACCGACAAAGGCGACGAAGAGTCAGAGCGCCTTCAACTGTAGTTAATCCAGACGAAAATTTTTATTTCTATTGGCTCTGGGTCATAACCATCTGTGTGCTTTACAATTTGTGGACACTTATCGTTAGACAGAGTTTCCCAGAACTTCAGGTATGTAACTGTTACTCTATGATTATTAAATTACTATTATATTATTTTCAGAAAACTGTATGAGATTTTTCTATAAATAAGATTCTTCATATGAAAAACCGGATGTCATTCCAAGAACACAATTGTATTTGTTTCCGTCAGTCGCCCCTCACGACACCCACGGGATGATATGGGGTGGTGGATATTTTTACACTGCCACCACACGGTCAACAACACACTCGCTCTGATTATTTATTTAGACCTTTAACAAATTTATTAAAAACCACCCCGGAATTATGTTCTTCATCGGTCTATATTAGAGATATTCTTCATAAGTAAATGAAGTCTGTCATATTGAATGCATAGTACAATTAACTACATAACGATTTCTTATATTTACACGAACACTACACATTTAAATTATACTAGAATAAATTTAAATAATGATACTGCATAGATCGGAACAAAAATTAATAATTTTAATCTATGGTAACCGCGGGTTATTATGAGATCTGGACGTTGAACATATCAGTCTCCCATGTGACCATGGGTGCTGTAAAGTGCTCGAAACGTCGGGTATTTAAAAAGTTAAATATACGTGATAAAATCCGTAAAAACTAGTATTATTTAAAAGGAGTTCTACATTATCACTACACCCCATCACAAGTCTACTACTGAATACAGGCTTCCCCAAAAGAATGCTTCAAAACTTGGTACTGATCCATCTGCATCCACTTCTCACATCTCTTACCAGGTCGTCACTCTATCTAATTGTTGGCCACATTACTCATTGCTTGCCAGTTTTGGCCTTATTTTCATTGTGAACTGAATCACGCATAGCATATAATTCTGAGCATAGCCCTCAGCATAACTCCGTGAGCAGCCTTAAATTACCTCATACGACCAGTAGTAAAGAACCACAACGTTTGACATTTTAATGCCGTTGACGTACATGAAAAACTGTTAACGAGAGAGTTACCAAGTTTTGAAGTATACTAGTTACCTATATTGACCTTTCGATCGTAATTGGGCTTACCTAGTCGGACAATTTGTCCTAGGTAAAAAAACTCCTCCACAATTTTGAACGTAGAGCTCTTAACAACTGTACTAGCATAGGTGTAATAAGTTCGTTACACGACACCATTGTTTGTATACGTAGGGAGACACTAATAGGCTCCTTCACCATAGTGCTGAGGCTATCCAGCGATTCTGTCATAATGATCATCATCATTGCCGCCCTTTACAAGTCCACTGGTGAACATGGGCCTCCAAAATAATGCTACAAAGCACAGTCCTGAGTCACCTGCATCCATCGACTTCCTGCATATTTCTCCATGTTGTCACTCCTTCTAGTGTGGGGTTGCACTACACCTCACTTACCGGTACGAGGCTGTCACTCGAGAACCTTTCTTCCCCATCAGTTCTTCAAGCTATATAGCCAGTCCATTACTGCTTTAGCCTACTAATCCGTTGGGCTAAGTCAGTTACTCTGGTCATACTGTGGATATCCCCATTTCTAAGTTTATCACGCAGAAAAACCCAAGTTTTTGCCCTCTTCATAACTCGCTGAGTGACCTTGAGTTACCACATACGCCCAGCAGGGAAGCACCACGACTCAGATCCATATCTTATCACTGGCAACACGCATTGGTTATATAATTTTGTTTTCAAATTTTGAGGCAGGTATACCTCAAAATTCGATTGAACAGCTTTCGGGAGATTATAAAATATCTCTTCGTCAGGTATAACGAAGAGGTATTTTATAATCTCCCGAACGCTGCTCAGCCAAATCGAATCCGTAGATGGACCACTCGATAAAAGTCTGACTGAACTAATTAGACTAATTGCCCACAATTAGTAATTATACTCATCGAAGACTTCAAGGGTAGTGCTCCCATCAACTACCGGTATAGGTGTGACATGGACGTTACCCACGACCTTGAACATGTGATGATTCAATATGATGATGATGACGTATCGTAATAATATTAGGTTAGTCGGGTAAGGTAGTCTTAATACGATGCTTAATGACTCTCCAAAACAGCATTAGAGGCGGTTCAAAAGGAAAATCGATTTGTAGTTCTTCAACAGTGTTGTCGCTTTTCTTAAAGAACAAAATCACAGTACATTTGCTCCCCGTCTCCAGAGTGCTATCAGAGGATAGAATTGAAGGGATTCTGAAGAATTTTAAGCACCGCTTTTCCACTCGCTTTCAGAAGGTCCACTGTAATTCCATCCTCGCGCAACGACTTGCCGATTACAAGGTGCTGGAGAGCCATTCCAATCTCGCTCAGATTGAAGTCCGGGATGTCATTAAAATATATATCCATACCCGATAAATAATTATCAATTTTAGTGACTTTTTAGGATATTTGTGTGTCTTTCTTTTTTAAATTTATTTTAATACACAAACTGATTTTATAAATTATTAATAAAATCAGCTTATAAAAACGGTACTAAGTAATATTGATATATATTTGTACATAAATTACTAGCGTAGCAGATGCGGCCCTTAAAGTGGTGGTTTTGGAACTACCCTCCGGAGCTGTGCAGCGAGCGCGCGAAACATTATTATGACTCTTTTGTTTAAATAGAAATCAACGAACTTTCTGTAACTTTGGAATGCATTCCGTTGTCATATGTAGCGTCCAAACTTACGGTTCACCGAATCAGAAGTGTGTAATGCAGCCCGTTGTCAACTGCGGCCAACAAAGAAGGCTATATAAGCTCAGTTAGTTGCTTTAGATAGCTCAGTGAGACTACAGTTGTCATCTCTGAGATCTAAGATAGAATGCCTCATAGCCTAGTGATAATACAAGATCTCTGTAACCATAAAACAACAGTGCCAGTACTCCTATATAGAAATATGAAACAATGTAATCCTTCGCAACTTAAGAGTGGGCATTACATTTTATCTGTCATCAGAAGTTTCTAAATAATATTTATTTAAAAAAAGCAATAAAAATCTCTTCACCGTATTTCAATAGTTTAATAAAATAAAATAATCGAACATTATAATATGTAGACATTATTAAATATTTAAAAGAAAATAGATTATTAATTAATTCATTACAAACTATCTAACGGCCACAGCTGACAATCACGTCATAGATTACCTCATTGAGAACAGATAAATAATAGAATCAGGCGTTACTTTACCGAAATCCATTATACTAAAGATCTCATAATTAATTGAGATCCACGTAAAAAATATTGTGTCTTTCGTGGTATAATAGTGTTGGGAGTAGTGGTGTTGGGATTGGTGTTGACGGGATAGTGTACGTTATTGACTCAGCTGACTGGCGCAGTGGCTTAGCAATGAGTGGCTGCGCTGGGGTCGCGGGTTCGAATCGCACAGAACAAGAATTTGTATGGCCTACAAATAATTGTACCGGGTCTGGATGTTTTTCCTTGTGCAATTTATGTTTGTAAACTGTCCCCAGAGAGAAAATCCTAGTGTAGGGGTATAACGTAACGTTTTTTAAAAAGAAAAAATAAAAAAAGGAATAAATTGAAATCTAGGTACATAAGTTGAGAGCTGCAAAGCGAGGGAAAAAAGCGAATGTTAGGAATTAAGATTAATCACGATTGACGCCATTGTACGATTAGGTTGGTTCAGAAATTATGTAGGTTCTTTAAAACAGCCAATATTTATAGTGAACTGTTTTATTTATCTTACTTCCGCACACATACAAAATTAGGTTCTAGGAAGGGGATCACTGGCCTGACGTAGGGAGCTGAAGTCCAGGCGAAGTTCTTGTAGGATCGCAGACAGATAGCTAGCGTAATTGCCGATGGTCCAGCCCTAGCGCTAGTCCGTCGTTGATGATGACCGTTGGCAGAATGGTAATCCGATAGTCCGTTAGCTAGCAGCACGGCAGCAAGTACGGCTGAGGCGGCAGGTGGATCCCCAGCGGTATCAACTGCACTTTGATTGTAGGTAAGGAAGTTCAACGGTCGTTCGTTTAGGCTCACGCACTTTGCGAACTTCAAGCAGTCTCAGGTACAAATAAACAAAGAATACTTATGCGCGTCTCCAAATACCTCGAGTACTTCCGATTTAGAGATCGGTGAGCAACGGTTTAACGGTGCGTGTGTGATTTTAAGGTTCCAGAGAATGATATTTTAAATTAATAATATTATGTAGTCAGTAGTTCATTTGTTTTTATTTTAAAATTAAAATATATTTATTTAAGATTGATTAATTATAACTATTTCTAAGAGTGTATTTAGATGCACCGTTACTAAGTAAACCGGATCTTACCTAATTAATTTTTAAGACATTTTATACAGGATATTTGTGTTAGTTTCCAGTTTCTTTATTATTTATAGTTGTTATCAGTAAGGTTGACAAGTAAGTTTCCTGTTCCATTTCTCTCCAAATGATAGTTCATAAGAAAATTAATAGTGCAACTTCTTTCGGAGCAAAATCCCGATAAACTGCTAATACCTGCTTACCATACGTGGTACGTATTTTGTACATGGTAAAGCACGCTTCAGCTTTAGGGTTGCAGCATACATGGGTTGCCGTGTAGTGACGGCATTGTTATACATCTTCTTTTTTGTGCTTATATACATACATAGGTAGTTCGTTTTAGTTCATAAGATCTTTTTATATGAACTGAAAATAATAGAATACTGTGGTTGGTAATCCGCCGCGAGCAACTATGGAAAAATACAGGGCGATTTTGCATGAATCTTTCTTAGAAGGACGCCTATATTCATCAGTATAATTTTGATAGGCAATAATAAATAATGAATGAAAACCATACGGCCCTGTCGTCGACAGGGGTAGAGCCACGCTCTCAAATCATATCGACATAAGCGCTGTGATTTTTTGTAAATTACTCTGCTCTTGATGTGCGTAGCGACAACCAGCTATCCATTTTACTGGTAATGAAGATAGTCCTTAGGGGTGACAACATATCTGTATTTTATTCTTGATGTAGGATATGTTTGCCTATGCAGTACCTACTTATCACCAGGTGGGCTATGATATCATTTTTACTTCTTTAAAAAAA